CTAAACTTTAATTTTTGGCACCAAAATAATCCTCAAACTTTAAAAATAATACCAACTTAATCCTTGAACTTTGAAGACAAGTACCAACTTAGTCTTTGAACTTTGATTAGAAATACCAATTTAGTCTTTCAACTTTGATTATATCCTAATCGGATGTGTAAAAAAAAATATACCACGATTATAAAATATAACTGTTTGATTTTACATGTCATTGGTACTTAAAAAAAGAACTGATTTGTAGCAAAATAATGAGTTACATGGCATTTTTGTTAACCAAAGGACTATCTTAGTACTCAAAATTAAAGTTCAGGGACAACTTCAATATTTTTTGAAGTTGAGGGATAATTTTGGTATAAATCTAAAAATTGAGGGACCAAATGGGTATTTAAACCTTCAATATATGTTATTGATATCTCTACCTCCAGAAAACTCAATTTCATTTTTTTTTTTTATTGAACTAAAGCTAAATAGATAACTCAATTTCTTTACTCATTAATCCTTAGATTTTCTAATTTACAGAAAACATAAAAATGGAATTTAAGCCCTCCAAAACATAGTCTTAATCCTAAAATGGAATAAATAAGAAAGAACAAAAACAACATCATGATTTTTATTTTTATTTTTTGTAAAGACAACATGAACAATCAAAACTGCAGGGAAAGATAAAGGTGACTAACCGGAGAGAAGGAGGAGGTGTTTATGGTAAGGAGAGAAATCTCGTCAACTTTGGGTCTAAAGAGAGAGATCTGAGAGTTGGAGGAGGCGAGAGGCAGCCTGCTGTCGCACGGAGACAACTGCAGGCTATTGTTTCCGTTGTAGAAGAACGATTGCCTTTGTGCGAACGCAATCGCGAACGTGAATCCATCGGACAACTGCACCGTGGTGTCTGCGCACGGCGAGTAAACGTTGTTCGTGTCGCCAGATTCCACCAGAATAGACGTCGTCGCCGCCGTCAGCAACATCATTAGAAGATAAAGCACCATTTTTGTCCGTGAATTTCACCGGCCGATTTTGATGATCGTTTCTGATTGATACGAGCTGATGGTTTTGACTTCAGTCCGCACAAAAACCACGGTGAAAGAAGAAACGAAGTCAAAAGACAAGAAAGGGATGTGAAGCAAAGTAGGCGACAATGGGCCGTTTTTTGGGCCATGTAAAATGGAAATACTTCCCGCCGTCATTTGCGGCGTTAATATTGGGTCGGACATGTAGTCCAAACCTCGCCGGCCCAATGGGCTCTCTGGAATTGAGAACTGAGAAGGGGTCATCGGCCCAAGGAGTTGCTACCTAGTTAAGGAATTTATTTTCTATTTTATTTATTAATATTTGATTTTTTAAATGGGCAATAAAAATATTTTTTCATAAGCTTTTAATTTTATTATAAATGCTCTATGTTTTATTAAATTTAAAATTTTAATTTTAGAGTACATTAAATTAAAAAAATTAGTTTTAAAGTACAAGACAAGATACCTTATTTAAAAAATCAAAAAAATATTGTACAATTTACTTTAAATAATATTTTATATTATTTATTTAAAATATTTTAATAAATTTATAAAATATACTAGACAGAGTTTAGATTGTAATTTATGAATATTATTTTTTTTAAAAATCCGTTATTTTACCTTCAAAACTGTAAAACACTTAAAAAAGTAAAAAATAAAAGACAATAGGTCATCGGAGGAAATAACGTCGGCGGGCTCGTGAGGCAGAGCAATTGGAGGCAGGTGGAGCGGGAAAGACACGAGGAAAAGAAATCCGGTGATTGGAGAACAAAATCAGTGTGAGAGAAGAGGTGATTAGCTGCACTAGAGAGCTGAGCTGGGGAGGAGTTTGCAGTCTCAGGGAAGCCCAGCTGCCGATTGAGAGAGGGGAAAGAAGCTGAGCTTTGAATTTGGAGAATCCCAACCTAGCTGAGTTTGAAGGTATTATCATCAAATTGATAATGATATCAAGAAAAAAAGACTAGTCCTTTCTTTACCCTTCAATTCATTTCATTGTTCAGTGCAGGAGGGGCCTTTACATTGATTAGCGGGTTGTAGGTAGCAAATATGCCACAGTCATGGCTTCGGCCCCTTTTCTTCCGAAACAGGCTTCATACATTTAGAGTACTGGACAGAAGCATCCCTTCTCCACAAACCCATGTGAAAATTTTCAGCAGTTACTCAATTCCCAGGACATACCATCATGGGCATGCTAGCAGTCAATTCTTTGGTGAGTTTTGGCTTTCTTATATGCTAAGATATTTCTCTTTACATACCAAGGTTCATTGTCATTTGGAATGGTGCTGTATCGTTGCTTCTCAGGATCTTTTGTTGATGCCACCATGGTCAATGGATATGGAGTTCCTCATCATTGTTTCAGCTGCTTGGCTGTTCACAATGTAGTTCAAGCTACTAGGGGATTTTGCTCACAGGCAGAAAATCAGTTGTTAGATTCCGTCTGTGATTCCTCCAATGGCGTGATGACTGAGCATTTGGAGACATTTGATGTTCATGCTCAGGATGTTAAGGTTGTCTTCAAGAAACCGATTGATTTCACTAAAATCGACGTTGATCTGCTCCCTACTGTCATGATTGTTGGCCGCCCAAATGTTGGAAAGTCAGCGCTGTTTAACAGGTTGGTGAGCAATTATTTCCTTTTCCCTATGGAAATAGGTATATTGTTCTCTACTTAGATTTCCATCAATTCTGGAAATTGCTGTTTAGGTTGATAAGGAGGAGAGAAGCACTTGTGTACAACACACCTGATGATCATGTCACGAGGGACATAAGAGAAGGAATTGCTAAATTGGGTGATTTGAGGTTTAGGGTATTTGACTCAGCTGGCTTGGAAACAGAGGCAGCTGCGGGGTCTATTCTGAATAGAACTGCTAGCATGACTGCTAATGTGTTAGCAAGAATTCAGTTTGCAATATTTCTAATAGATGTCAGGTAATTTTGAATTAATACTTAATAGTTATTTTTATTTCTCATAAAGAAATAACAATGAATAACAAGCTTCTTGAGTTTATATTTTCCACTTATGAGTATCAAGTCTTCTCTCCATGAAATTCTTATCGTGTGAAATGTAATTGGGGAGGGGGTGCAACTGTGAGTCACTTGATATATATATATATATATATATATTATAACCTGGTTGCATAATGGAATTAATTTCTGGGGTTCATCTTGGGTCTAGAACTGGACTACATCCCTTGGATCAGGAAGTGGGAAAGTGGCTGCGTAGATATGCACCTGGAATCAAGCCTATATTGGCAATGAATAAGTCTGAATCACTTCATGATGGTAATGGCTCTCTCACCGAAGCTTCTGAAGAAGCCCAGTTGTTAGGATTTGGGGAACCTATTGCAATATCTGCTGAGACTGGTCTGGGTATGACAACTCTTTATGAAGCTCTTCGGCCTTTGCTTGAGGATTATATGATCAAAGTTTTAAATGGTAAGCAAATCTGTTCTTAGAAAATATTCCATGTTGAGGAAACAGTTTTTTATGCCGTGATTATTAATTCTCTGTTCTATTCTTAAAAGCTAACTAAAATTAGACATGTTAATATCCTTTTACTTGCTATGAAATGAGAACTTTTTATGGAGAACTATATATTGCTCAATTATGATTTCTCCAATAAAATGTCATAAAGCTATTTTATTTTCTATAATGCTTCAGCAGCCAGTGTTAAGATCCATCTGTTAGGATTTAAGTCCAATGAGAACACTCTAATTGGATATAATTACAGCCTGTTAACTAACAATAAGAACATTTATATTTTCTCTCTCACACACTGCTTTCTTTTCAATTTTATTCTAGACAGGGGCAGCCAAGAAGATGGCTCCATGAAGGTTGGTGGTGGCTCTAGTGAGATTGATGAATCTAAGGTTCCATTGCAGTTAGCTATTGTTGGACGACCCAATGTGGGTAAGTCAACTTTGCTGAATACATTAATACAAGAAGATCGCGTTCTGGTTGGTCCAGAAGCTGGTTTGACTAGAGATTCAGTAAGAGCACAATTTCAGTTCCATGGGAGAACAATATTTTTGGTAAATATTTTACTTAATTAAGTTGCTTTCAATATTTATTCTGCCATTTTTTTTTTTACCAAGTGTGTGAGTATTTAGTTTATTAGTCTGATAGTCTCCAAGTCTTTTTTGACATGTTCCTCAATTTTCAAAACTCCTGTTGAGTCCATAAGGTTTAGTTTCTTTTCCCTTTTGGAATCAAAAGTTCACAAAAGCTCAGATTTTGATTCCATTTTCTGTTTTTCCTTTTAGTATTCAGAATTTCCTAGGTATTCTCTAGTAATATAATATTCTTATCATCTGAAGCTACGACACTGTTCTTAAGAACTATTGCCATCTTTTCTGTGTTCCTCTCTCTAGATCTTTAAGGTCCATGCTGAACCTTACTCTATTCATTTCTTTAGTTGTCTGTTACCTTGTCATATGAACCTCTCCACCTTACATTGGGTATGAGCTTTTTAGTGATGGCAGGGAATACTCTTCTGAGTCTCTTTTTTTTTTTTTATTTCTGGCCATCATCTTCCTGGGTCTAAAATTAATGTTTCCTCTGATTTCTTCTCTTGAAACTTTGATGTTCTGATCTCTAAATGAAGGTAGTACTAAATCAAAATTATGATGATGTTGATGTTTATGTTTATGTTTATGTTTATGTTTTTCAGGTTGACACTGCCGGTTGGTTGCAGAGAGCAGATCGGCAGAAGGGACCAGCATCATTGAGCGTCATGCAATCAAGAAAGAATCTGATGAGGGCTCATGTAGTTGCTCTAGTTCTTGATGCTGAAGAGGTGAGCCACATATTATACCCATTTTTTCATTATTTATTCATGGATTAAGTGCTAGAAGCTAATGAGTTCATTTTCTCTAGTCTATAATTTGGTAATAATTGGTACACTGATATATGCAAATCCACTGGTGATTTTCTGTATAGCATGGAGACAGATACATTGATCATGCCAAATTCTAGAGAGCTTTTAACCTATGTTTTGTCTCAATTTATGGGCCATGCAATGCTTGATGTATGTTCTGAACAGAAAACAAATTTCAAATCGCCATGCAATTATGATAGCTGATATTTTTTATTGAATGAGAAAATCTTTGTAAAAATTGTCACCTGGGGAGAAGCTTTCTATGTCTAATGTATCTTCATTCTTCCTCCATGGTATGGTAATTAGATTGCAAATGCAAGGCGTAGTATGACGCATGCAGAAGTAGTTATCGCAAGGCGAGCAGTTGAAGAAGGGCGTGGTCTGGTTGTAATTGTTAACAAGATGGATCTTCTGAGAGGGAAAAGGAATTCTGCACTGTATGAGAAGGTCAAAGAAGCTGTTCCTCAAGAAATTCAGAGTGCAATACCTCAGGTCTGTGTTATAAATCTTTATGCTTTTTGAAAAACTTCCCCTCCTCCCAATGACAATGTTTGGTCTAATGGTTTCATGGTTTTGTTTGTAGGTGACAGGAATACCAGTTGTATTCATTTCAGCCTTAGAAGGAAAGGGTCGTGTAGCTGTTGCTGTTATGCGTCAAGTCATGGATACATATGAAAAGTGGTGTTTAAGATTACCCACTGCTCGTCTTAACCGTTGGTTGCGTAAGGTGAGAGCAGAATGCGCATGTTTGAATTCCCTTTAATAACCCTGAAATCTGTAAAATGTACTGATTCTCTCTCTCTGCCTCCTTCTGTCAGGTTATGAGTCGGCATTCCTGGAAAGATCAGGCTGCACAGCCGAAGGTGAAGTATTTCACCCAGGTAAAAGCCCGGCCACCCACTTTTGTGGCCTTTATGAGTGGAAAGATGCAGCTCTCAGATACGGAAATCAGGTTTCTAACAAAGTCTTTGAAGGAAGACTTTGACTTGGGTGGCATTCCTATTCGGATCATGCAGCGGTCTGTGCCTAGAAAAGCTGGAGGTAGCAGCAGCAAGGGGAGTCAATTGGGTGGAAGAACATTGGAAAGGCCCCTGTCTGACAAGAGAAGTGTCCTTGCTTAAGACTATGGCAACTTAACATTGCTGGAGGCCCAAGTTTTTGTATTGTTTGAAGTTCTGATCGGCAAATGCAACATGGTTTATTTCAAAGCAGTTTCTCATCGCTGCATCTATAAGATGTTTCTGCCCTGTGCTTTTGAGTGTGAGGAGGACTGGTTTTCACTTTTAACTGCATCCATACACTTGGGCCTTGGCTAGCAAATAACATGGCTGCCTGACTAGATTTACTCTTCATTTTCTAGCTGTTGAATTTCTCACAGTTAGACTACAATTTTCTGTCCAGATCCATGCTGATACCTATATATGTGATTCTGATCATTAGATGATAATTTCCTTCTATGTGTTATTGAACTGATTATTACATAGTCTACAAAATTCATCAGTTAGTCAATTATGACAGAACGCTGTGTTATCTGAGAACTTTTATTGCCTCACATCCTCTCCTTGTCATTCAGCATTTTAATTCATTTCCATGCTTAGAAAATTTTAAAATAATGTGAAATTTTGACCACCTATTTATGTTGGAAGTAAGCTACCCTATTTTCTTCAGTCTGCTTGAAAATATGTTTCCCATTGGCAACAAATGCATCTTTTAGAAGCATCTTAGGGGATCTCTCCTTTTTCCATCTCCTGAGAATTGTCTATTTGTCATTATTGTGTTAGCAATCAACTTGCCCACGCAACTGCCATTGAATGGGGGAAAGATTAATCCTTGGTTTGTGAATTTGTGCCAATTGTATTTGTTTGAATTGGCCCTTTGTTTCCCCTGTTGAAAACTTGCAGTTATTAATGTATGTTTCTCTCTGATAAAGTAGGACTACAAGGCTGTTGAGTCAGACAAATGTCACAAATCTCATTTCAATCATTATATTTGTTGGAAGTGGGCTGTTGTTCATACCTTTTACGTCATGCTAACAACTATTGTTTTCCTTCTGTTCATGACATTCATTTGTGATGCTTCCTATTGTGCTAAAATGTATGGATTGTGGTGTGAAACTTAACCTTGTGTTAATTTGCCTGTTGAGGGGTGCCTCCTGAGCACTTCCAGGGCCTGTATTGGGCATTAAATTTGCTAGGGATGGGATGAAGTGATTCATGGTTGCTTGCTGTTGCTTTTCTACTTTGGTGCAAGATTTGGACTTGGTAAGAATGAAAGGTACGCGTTTACTTCTTTTCAGTAAAGTACTCCCACTTTACATATCATTCTGTTCAGACAACTCATAACCTTCCTTACATTGTGCAATCTGCATTAATGGTTTACTAATATGGAAAACAAGCATGTAAGTTGCTCTTGAATCATGTAAAAGAAAAGGTTAACCATGATGAAATAATAAAGGACATAAAAAATTGGGGCAATTTTGTATGAAATATCACTCATATCTGTAATTTTTCATTCTTCTGTAGATACTAATTTTACTTCATTTTACCAGTTCAATAGTCTCAGCCATGTCTCAGTTTTTGACTCTTTTTTTTAGGAGGGGGGGGTGGAATAACATTTTCAATAGACTCACTACTATGCAATAAATGTTTTATTAGGTATTTTTTGTATGCTTTCGGATAGTTTAGCATTCAAATGATGCAGGATGATGGTGACTGTAAATTGAACTCTTAACTGATTCCTCCTTCCAAATTGATGGTATTACATTTAGTTTTTAATGGTAACAAGCACTTTATTTTAGATTTGTAGAATGTTATTCTGCAAAGTTCAATAATGCTTTTATTCCATTTCTTCCAATTTTCCCCAGTTCCCAGACCTTTAATAGGTTCCACTCAAAGTTTTGACTAAATTGATTGATACGTTTGATGTTTCTGATTCCTGAAAAATATAATTTTACAGATTTGTAAAAGTCTCATAGACACTACCTAGCTTGCTTGTGTTCCTTATTGTTCCATAGAAATGATGAGATTGGAATGCAGCTAGTGTCTACGTACAAGGTGGCATAAGAAAGGTCATTTCCATGGTTTATAGGCAAGAATCCACGTTTAGCATCTGATTTTAGTGGCTGGTGTTTGTTTCCTTCTTTATGTCACAGGAGATTGTTAGGAGATGATAGCATTGCAACTGATGGTATACGTGATGCAACCATCAGCCATTTCAGCCATACTGTTGCAATCTACCATATAGTATTTGGTCAATGAGTTCCTTTCCATTCTTTGCATTAGAAAACCATCTGTCATAATGTTGCAATCTTAGTTGCCTGTTTTTTATTAAGATTTTTAAGCGAACCATCCTCTGCAAAATAATTAAGCATCTTGATTTTGATAATCGCATTTAATTAACCATGTTTTTGGACCTTTTTAATATAGTTCACACTTGACTAAGTAACTAACACAAAAACGCTGGAGATGCATTAGTTGATTTTCATTTGCATGAATAGTCACGTTACAATTTTTCTAATCTTCAGTCAACCAAGCTCGATATATATTTCAACCATTGCTTCTACCATTGATATTCATTGACATCAATTATATAACAGTTAGGAGTTGAATAACAGATCTTGATCTAGATCAATCAAAATATGAAAAGCAAAAAAATTATCTTTAATTATTAGCTAGAAAAGTATTTAATTCGATCTAGGTTCCCTTATAATCTTCGATTAAACAAAAAAAACAACCTAAAATTTGGCTGCAAAGTCATTCTTAATTCAATACAATGTAGTCAACGTTCAAAGTTTAATTGTTAATTTCGAATTGTTAGATGATAAACAGCAAGCTGGCTGGCCTGTGTAACGAAACAAGTCTTCTGCTTATATATAGTTTGTGCTTCTTCAACAATCAACACCTATTAGCCTGCCCTGCTCAACAAGTTTTTCAGCTTGTGTAAGAAGGCGTAATTAGGTACGTTCATCCTTCAGCCATTGTATGTTGTCTTTAATTACGCATTTATGTACAGATAAAGAGCTGTTTGAAATTTTGAGTTTGAAATCTCATTTCCATGGTATACATGCTGTTATAATTGATTCGGACATTAGTTTATGCAAGTTTAATTAATATATACATTGATATGGCAAAAAAAAGTGTTGTTGGAGGCGTTGTGCCTGAAGTTTTTAACCAGGAAAGTTATAAAACCTGGAGCATTTGCATGAAAAACTATTTAATTTTTCAAGATCTGTGGGACGTGATTGAGTCAAGCAATGATGTGCCTCAATTCGGAAACAGAAGAATTTAAGAACTGGTGGAAAAAGAATGCTACAGCCCTACATGCAATTCAGGTTTCATGTGGAAGAGAGATACTTGCTCAAATAATATTTACTGATCATGATCATAAGGAAACCATAAGGTCAGCCAGAATTGCTTGGAAACAACTGAAAAAATGCTTGAACCAGAAGCTCGAATTTTACGAAGCTAACCAGTACCAGTCCATGAACCATGAATCAGGTATGTATTAATGCATGTCTGAAATTTCTTTTCAATTGTAAAAAGCTTGAATTTTACCATGCTAAAAAATATTGACCAACACTGCCAGGGATGGATGACAATGGAAGGACTCGTTCTGTCAGCTTGCCAAGGGTGGTGAACATTGAAAGGACTCATTCTGTGAGCTTGCTCAAAGCCATTCAAAGAGGAGATGTTGATGCTGTAAGGCACTCCTTTTATCAACATCGTCATGCAAAAAATGGAAGAGTATTGGAAATAGGCTGCACTGCTCTTCATGTTGCAACCATTTCTGGCCAGGAAAGGTTGTGGAGGATCTGATATGGATAATGTCAAGGAAAGACTTGGAAACACAAGATGACAATGGTGACACGGCTCTTACCCTCACAGCTTGTAATGGAATAACTGAGATTGCAAAATGCTTGGTTAGAAGGAACAGGAATTTGGTTACCATACCAAACCATGAAGGAAAGATCCCTTTGGTGGTGGCGTGTGCTGGGGGCCATAAAGATATGACTTACTATCTTTACTCCGAAACTCCTCTAGATTTTGTCTCCAGAAGATGGCGACCATGGATCCTTACTCCTTGATTGTTGCATAGTTAGCAAAATGTTTGGTAAGAGCTATATAAATTAAGTGCAAAACTTCATCTAGCTTCTTCTTCTTCAAACCATGGAGAAGTCATACATAAATATATCAACTTTAATGTTTTTACTTAAATACGTACCTTTTTTTCCTAGGCAAGAATGGAAACTTTCACAAGTTACTTGCTAAGGATGTGTACTTAGCATTTTTACTACACAATGATTAATTTGATGTTTCCATAGCATGAAGACTATATTTGCATAGATATATCCAATTAACCTTGTATAATAAAAACGCAAAATACACATCCTTAATTAATTTTATAAAAATTCACATTCTTGATTGGTAACTTGTGAAAGTTTTGCATGCTTGATTAGTAAAGAAAAAAAATTGTATCATTAATTAGTAAAAGCATAAAAAATTCACATATGCAGTTTCTTTCAAACCATGAAAAGGCCGAATAATTTTAAGTAGTTCTCTCTAACTTGATGTTAAAAACAGATGTTGGTTAGGATCTTCTCCAGTATTATCCACTTTTGGCAATCACCAAAAACCGCCAAGATTCCACTCCAATAACAACTTTGTCGGGTCTACCTTCTGCGTTTCCCAGTGGAACGATCGGCCTTGCACTTTGGCAACGATGGATTTATTCCTGTTAGTATATATCACTATCGTCATTTCCTCTTCTATGAAATAATTATTGGAAAGTACAAAGAATTTTCAAAGACTGAGTTTACGGTGTATCCTGCGTTTTCTTTGTATTGTAACAGAATTTATGGTGCAATGTTTCTATAGGTATAAAGATAAAGGTAAAGCTTCCTGCAGCTGCTTCTGTTGATGTTCGTAGTAATTTTTGTAAGGAAGACCATATTGAACCAACAAATATCAAGATACCAGGTAAGTTATACTATAAATATGGATATTGAATCTAGATTACCTTCAAAACTATATCCCTACACCACATTTTTGGTTCAACTGATTAGGGTTTGGTGTTGCAGTTCTAAGTCAAGTACGAAAATTTGGTACATTGCTCCTGAAGTTCTCTGGTATGTATGTAACATCGACACTATGGCACATTTTTCTTCATTTTAACCAATCAAAAAATGAAACTTCGCCTTTTTCAATCCTTTTTTCTCATCCCTTTATGTTAATTCTTGATTTCTAGGTGCAAAGAAAATTTATGATCTTAAACTGAACCATACCTATGCTCTTGAAATTCTACGTTGCATGAGCTACGGAATTTCAACTCTAAATGACAACCAGTTCGATGAAGGTACTGCTCATGAAGCAATCTTCCAAGCTGTTAAGCATGGCATGATTGGCATCATTGAGTTTGTGGTTAAGATTATTCAAGCTAATCCAGATTTAATATGGTGCAATGATAAAAATTAAAGAGACATTTATGTCTGCAATCGAACATTGCCAGGAAGAAATTTTCAGCCTGATATATGGTCTGGACGCAAAGGACGCATTGGTTACTTTTGCTGATAAGGATAATAACATGTTACATCCGACAGGGAAGTTAGCTCCTAATTCTCAACTTTCTCGCATCTCTGGTGCAGCTTTGCAAATGCAAAGAGAACTACAGTGGTTTAAGGTTGTCTCTTGTTTCACAATTCATATTTTATTTATTTGTTAATGGTTAAACAGATATTATATATTTCATTGAAACAAATGCAGGAGGTGGAAAACATTGTTCCACATATGTGTAAAGGGGATTTAAATCGAGATGGCGAAACTCCTCAACAAGTGTTTACTAGGAACCACAAGAAATTGGTAAGAGATGGGGGGGAATGGATGAAGCAAACAGCAAACTCTTCCACAATTGTTGGTGCTCTCATCATAACTATCATGTTTGCGGCAGCATTTACAGTACCTGGTGGTAACAACCAACATACTGGATTCCCCATATTCTTGGATACAAAATCATTCATGATATTCATCATATCTGATGCAATTTCTCTTTTTGCTGCATCAACATCAGTTTTGATGTTTCTCGGAATTCTCACAACTCGTTATGCTGAGAAAGATTTCCTTAAATCCTTACCAACAAAGCTGATAATTGGGCTTTCCACGCTGTTCCTTTCTATTGCTGCAATGATGGTGGCCTTTTGTGCTGCCCTTTTAATAATGCTTGTTGGCCAACGGTGGCTTGTCATTCCAATAGTTTTGGTGGCTAGTATTCCAGTCACATTATTTGCTTGGTTGCAATCTCCCCTCTTGGTTGAGATCTTCATTTCAACTTATGGATCAGGCATCTTTAAGAGGAAAATGAAGCGTTGGTTGTAATTGAGTGTATGTTTTGTTACACATTCAAAATTTATGGAAGTTTTCTCTTTTTTTCTTTTTTCTTTTTTGTTTATATTATAGAAATTTTCCTTTATGTTTACATATAATTTTTTAATTTAACTTATATTTGTATGATTAATATTTCTTTTATTTATAAAAATAAATTAATTGAAAATTGAATTATTGACAACTATCTCAATTATCAATAATTGAAAAAATAAGTTTGAAAATTTGAAAACTTTTTTATCTTCATTGGGAATTTTATTTACTATATTTGTATTGCTTGTCTAAATTAAGTGACTTTATTTAGTATGGTTATGATTTTAAGGTTTTAGTTTTGCTTTTGATTTTTAAAATTCAAACAATTAAAATCAATAATTAAAAATTGAAATTGCTAACCCATTTGATATAAAACTTTAAAATAAATACTCAAAACTCCAAATTTAATTAATTTTATTATAAATTTTTAAAATTTTTAAATACTAAAACCAAAAACTCAAAACTGCAACTATGCTAAATGGAATTTAAACTTATTGAAGTTTTTACTATCACAAAAACAAAATTAAATTAAAGTTATTAGAAATTAATTCAGTTTCCTCTATTTATATCAACCTACACCAAATCTAACAGACTTCGTTTGAGAATGTTTTACAAATTTTTTCTACATGATACTTTATCTAAAAATAAAAGTTAATTATTCTTAATTAATTTTTAATATATTTTATATATTTTTATAATAATAAGGGACAAGAAAAGAAAGAGCCAACAACCATGTTCTTAATTACTAATAAAAAATGCTTGCCATTTTCCTAAAAATATTAAATATTAAAAGTTACAGTTACAACAACACTAAGCAACCATAAATTAATTATTTGTATACAACATTAAAAAATTATCTCATTAAAAAAAATTATACAATTATTGTCCAAAGAGATCTCGATTAACAACTTGATATTCTAAGTTTAAAGCCTCAAATATTAACCTAAAAAATTAAAAAAAGAAAAAAAAAAGAATTATCTTTTGTTTTATAATTCAATGACTTATTATTTAATAAAAAAAAAAAAAAACCTCGATTCCTTCACATTATATCTTAAGTTTAACTTGTGTGGATAAAAAGACATATATTATGAAAAAAAAAAATTTATATGATCAGACATAAATGGTTACAAGACATCAAAATATTAGTAAAAAAAAGGTTAAGTATCTTTTTTGATCCTTCTACTATTGAGAAAAATCCCTTTTATGTCTTTATATCGAAAAAATCTCTTTTTTAATTATTAAATTTTAAATCCGATTTTCTTTTGGACTTTCCTTAAATTTTGCTCACATAGCATGTTATCTTAACAACAATAACAAGGGGCAGCTGCCCCCCTAAGGTTTTGAAAATTTTCAAATATGGTACATTAATTTTTATTTTTTTACAAAATTTTATTTTTCGAGGTTTTAAACTATTGGGACCATTTCAAATATATATATAAAAAATTAGGATTTAGGTAAAGGAATTGTTTCTCTCCTTATGATTAATTTTTAAGATATGATAATTTGGTCTAGTTAAGAAAAATATTAAAAAATAGTTAAAATCTAATTAATTACATTAATATAACTTATATAAGTTTTTACATTAGTTATATATAACTTTTTTGTGCAATTCATATACTATGAAAATAATGTTAAATTTATTCTATTTATATAAATCATACATTTTGACTTTAAAGTTGTTTTGATATAAGTAGCTATTTAAAAAAATAAACTATATTCTTATACTTGTTTTTAGGGATTTTAAAGTATATATCATTCAAAAATAACTAAATATATCTAATTTTCTTGATAAACTAAATATCTGTAATTAATTCAAAGTTTTACATGTATAAATAAGTGATATATTCATAAAATAAGTGATCAATATAAAAATTAATTTAAATTATGTTAATGTGAACTAATACATAACTCAAAAAAATTTTAACCTTTCCCCTTGCCCCCTCTAACTTTAATTTGTGGCTCTGCCCATGATGACATAGACATTCCAATGTGTAAAAATACTTACGTATACTTAATAACACCCTTCCATGTCACTCTTTTCATGCGAAAAAAAGCCTTGATCAAACATTCTGAAATTCTCCAGATATCTTCTTCCTTCTTTCAAAATTCTCATTTTTCATTCATAATCAATCCTTTACATATGAGTTCGATCAAGATAAAATTCTCAGATTTTCAACCCTTTCTTTGTCTGTTAACCTATGTCATGTATGAACCAAGCTATGAAATTCATAGTAACATAATCGCAACAACATGAACCTATCACCAGCAGTTTCAAACCCAAATATGAAACACAAACCCAAAACTTAACATCTCTAATTCAAAACCAAACATGAAATTTTAGTTTCAATTTCATTCAACTTAGATACATTCAAAATAAAAAAAATGAAAAAAAAATAAAAGGATCAGAACCCAGTTCAGTTCCCTCTTGGAACCCAGCAACTTGGGTTCTGATGATGAAGAAGGATGATGAAGAGGGATGATAAAGAGGATAATGAAGAGGATGGCAAAGAGAATGGCGAGAATGAAGATGAGGAGAAAGAAGAAGATAAAGAAAATTAAGAAATTATAGTTAATTTCATTTAAATTCATTTAATTTATGAATTAAAAAATAAAATTTTTAATTTGTACATGTAGCACAAAATGCTTACTACCTATAATTTTCTCCACCTAATTTTTACAATTTTATCCACTTAATTTTCACATCATTTATAATATTAATTCTATAAAAAAATAATTAAATGATTCCGTTAATTAACATGCCCGATAAGTAAAAATTTAATGAAATGACGAAAAAAGAATCGAATTTTAAAATTTAAAGACTAAAAAGAGAAGTTTTTCAGTATAGGGACAAAAAAAAGCTTTTCTTAATAGTAGAGAGACAAAAAAAGTATTTAACCAAAAAAAATAAAAAATTTGTCTCTATAGCTGAGATTATTTGGACATTCTAATTATAGTTTTTCGGGTAAAAGCAACTAATTCAAAGTGCTAACAAAATCAACGAAGATATCTTGACCATCGGATAAGTTTTCTCACCTAACCGTCCATCA